GCCCCACCGAGCTCTGGGGTTAGGGGTCTGAGTCCTGCCTCACTTTGTCTGTATGTATCAGTCTGTGGAGGCGCCCCTGCACTGTTTGGTTTCTCCTGCAATCCAAAGACATGTCATTACGTTAATTGTTACCTAAATTGCCCAAGGCGTGTAGACACTGTAATGTACCTGCATCACACACTGTCTCCCTAAACTGCCTGGGATAGGATCCAGTCCACGTGTGACTTGTAGATTAATTCTAGAAGTTTCTTCATGCAGAAGTCATCTGAAATAATTGTGCTATGTAGATGTAATGTATACTATAGTGTTCTAGGACAAGGATTTTCAACCTTTTTTTTTAAAATATATACATAAACATACAGAACAGCGAACTTGGAGAGGAGCTGGCCAGCTTTAACACTCCTCATTTAGCAGTTACCTCAGTTAGCTACCATTCAGAAATAGAGCAGTAATAAAAAAAACTCATTTTCCTACCAATGTGTGCATTGGTGATGAAAAGTCATTCACCCTACAGTGATGCACACAGGAGTGAGAGAGATAAAAAGTACTAAATGTTACAAATGTCCACTTCATGAAGGATAAAATAAATTGTGCATGAAAGACTGGAGTCAAGTACTAAGCACAGTTGTGGTTTCGCCTTTTGATTTTCACTTAGTGAACATTTCACTTAATCTGGTTGTTAGACTGGAACTCTGCTGCTGAATGAGGCCTGGGTGTATTTTTATAGCCCCCCACACCGCCCTGCCCACCTCCGATTTTTCAGGTACTCCTGTGCTTAGAAGAGTTTGTAAAAAGAACAGCGGCTTTTTAAATCGTATTTTCGGGATCTAACGGAGGCCACAGGCACCAAGCTCCAGAGAAAGGCGCTTTGTGAGTGTGGGTTTGAGCCTCATCCCCATCAGCCAGCTCCCTCATTCTAGGCTTCAGCTAATCAGTATCATTACAATTCAGATCGTTTACATCCACCCCGAAATGCTGAAGGTTTTTCCTTTTGGTGCCTATTTTGCATGCACCTTTGCTGCATCTGCCTCGCGGGGATGTGCTGCACCGCAGTATGTGCAGTTATTGTGATTTTTCTTGGTATTTTACTGTACCTATATTATTTATATCTTGTATGCAATATTTATATGTTATACAACCCTTTCCAAAATCATCTATGGCCCTCTTGAAATAGGAGACTATTTTAAAGTTAATCACAGAACATTATCTGGATATTGATGTATTTATTGACTATCTGTCATCTGAAGGCCTACATCAGCATCATTAGAAGAGCAAATATGCATTTTATCTTAGGATGGCTTACTTGCATATTACCCTTTCAGGAACTGGCTCTGTTTTACATCAGCTACTGGAGTATCTAACTGTGAGATTAATTCAAACAGAATAAGAATTGCATCTTTCAGTTACTGGGTGTTCAGATGTGCCATTCAACCCCTGCACCCCCAACCATAGAAACTTAGGGTCTGTTAGATGAGCACTTTGGGGTGGGAGCCCATACCTTTTGTGATTCATCAGAAGCTCCCTGTGCAGATCTTGGTGGCTTTTAGAGGCTTTCACTGGATTAGGCAGCTTTTTAGGCTTGATCAGATCATTGTCCTCCTCCATGTAATCTGGATGGGGCACGTAGCCGGCAGCTGTGAGCATGTCTCGGTGCTGACATTGTCGTGGCTCCTCTTGCTCCTCCTGTTGCAGGTCAGCGTAGGCCGAGGCTGGGGGAGGAGGGGGGAGCACCAGGGGCAGAATGGTGATCCACAGGGTCGGTCAGATCCCACAAAGATGTATAGAAGGTATCGGGAGTATTGGTTCTCAGGTGTTGTGCTTCTATTAGCATTAGAATGCTCTAAAGTGCATCTTGTATGATCTAGTAGTATGGAGACTGTGTCACAGAGATGCACCTTAATGTTCTTTTCAAGGTTTTTCTCAAGGGTGTAGCAGAGAGAGAGAGAGAGAGAGAGAGAGAGATGGAGTGGTGGGTACAGACTCCTTACAGACTGCTGACACTTAATCCGCAGGAGGGGCAAAATCAATGGAAAGTTCGCAGAGCTTTTAGGAGAATCTCACTGAGCGCAGAGAGTATCAACCCTTATTTAACTGACTGAGCTTCTGGACAAAGAATAACTGAATGACAGAGAGTCTCCCAATATGGGGTACAGCTTTGCTTTAAACTATGAATACAGGTTTTAGCTAATATTCAACGGCGTTTCACACTCTTCTTTAAATATTAAATGTAAATACTTAGTTATTTCTAGGGGGGTTATGGTGGCATGCAGTTGGCCTTTCCATGATTAAGAGATCAAAAGGCTGCCTGGAAGTAGAAACTGTGAGAAAGTGATAAACGCAGAGACTGCATCATTAGCGAGTTGGGTGAGCAGACCATGGGGAGATCTGAGATTCTTTCTGAGCTGAATGTGGGAACCTTGAGACTTATAGCATCTGCTTTACTTGAGGCAGCTCTGCCCCTGGTCTCCTGTAGGGGAAACACTTTTCATGTGTTAACAATCCTTTTGCTAACAAGTGATTTGATGTCCTTACAAAGGTGATTCCTTGCCCAACTTGTTCAACTTAACTGCCATGGTTACTTGACCTCCTTTTTCATGTCACTCTCTTAAACAATTCCCACTGTAGGCTCTGATACACCCCTACCTTGGGCAACAACAGGTGCTATAAAGGTTGGACTGGTGACCCAGAGGTGATGGGTTGTTGAATTTCTGGGCCAGATAATTAACTCTGGTAAATGTCCAGCTGTGCAAACCAGTGAAGTGTGTAATGTGAAGTAGGTGGATGTCTCTATGAAGGTGGTACATCTGGCAACTCCCAGAGCTCCAGAGCTCCATCTCTCCGAACAGGCCAATCAGATGGGACCTGATGAATCAGCCATTCCAGGATGGGGGGGTGGGGGGTCAGGTTTCATACTCGGCAAGGCGAAGCATCATTTCTCAAGTGGAACCGGACCCACCTATGCTATTTAATATTTCAGAATTGTCCTTTGGCCTCAGCCCTTCCTCATATCGGGCTGGGTAAGAAGACTCTGATGGATCTGGGCTGGGATGGAAGAGATGGCTATCGACCATAAAATGACTGCCAAAGTTTAAAGGACTACAACTCAATCCTCTGTTCACTGCTGCAGTCAAGTTGGATGCCATTTCTGATCATCCGTAGATTGTCAGGAGCCCAATGCAAGCTATGCTTCTTTGTTTTCTCTATTTGTCTATGAATTTCAGACCCCCAGTCTCCTCCACTCGCTTGTTCTCCTGCCACACAGATGCTGTTTCTATTATGGCCTAGAATTGCTTCCTTCTTTTCCTGGGCCGTGAGGATCCACCCGATGGATCCTTTGCAGTCTTGATTTTGTGACAAAAATATGGCCTGGTGAAGTGGGTATTGCTTAACGTAAGTAAAACAGAAATGTGAATGAAATATGTGTTAATGGCGATTATGAAATCAAATGCACTATTTGCCTGACAATTAAAAATA